ATAGTCACAATGCATAGTCATAAAGCTTTGGATACATATTGTATTTAAGAAAACTTTTCGCTTTCTTCTTCAATTCAATATCAACTCTTTATTCTTCCAAAACCAGACCATGGGTACTGGATGAAAATATACAAATATAATTTATATTGATAAAAAAATAACAATCAAGGGTGGAAATAAAGAAAAATATTTAAAGGAAATTGCAATTCATAGCAAACGTGAAATTCATCACTGATACAGTGACAAATAGTACATACATGTATTCTTTTATGAAAATTTCTTCCAAAATTATCAGATATACATGTTTCGCTTCTCAAATGAAGATTACATTAGGGTGAACTAGCAAATATGCTTTTTAAATTCATGTACGAATTGGTTTTTGGAGTTTCTTTATTAATGACTTGACTAAAGCCAGTTAAGGCTCTTATATTAGTCCTATTTTCCATATACGAAAATTAATTGTATCTATTAGTTTATTTATTTTGCCTGCAGTCGCATTTACACTGTATATGAAGATAGAGCAATTACATAGATGCTGTGGTATTGTAGCCCTCTCCAGAAAAAAATTAGATAAAAAAATCGGAGATATCAGTTTATGCTATACAGTTCAACGCACTTTCTAAACTCACATGGTTTTTCGAACAAATTAAGGTCACATTGTTACTATGCGAAATTGTGAAACGAGGCAACAAAATATATTTAAAAAGTAGTTTCTAACTAAATTTTAAGTTTATTTAACTAACTTTAAACATAATTCACATATAATTGTTGGTAAGATTTTAATATACTCTTGGCTGATAGATTGTGATAGTTCCCAAATTTTTTTTCGTCGTTTCTCGTGAAACGTAACCGTCTATGTACCTGTCCTTTTTAAAGCAGTTCTTTGCCTTGCATTGGCTCAAAAATAGTGCAGATCATGTAAATTTTGTATTTCTGTTCAATAAAATGACTCTATAAAGCGCAAGATGATAATAGTATTTCTCATTTGTGGTTGACTACTTTTATGTTAAAAAGCTGGCATTTTGTAGGGTTACATTCGGAACTTTAGCATCATGAAAGATAGATCCGACCGCAAAATTCTAAAGTTTCAGACCGTAAATGTAAAAGAATTATTTTTTCAATGGTAACAATTTACTATTTTAAAAAATGAAGAATCCTTTTTTATCCTGTCTTTTGGCATGGTTTCTTTATGCAGCATTGTCATTTTTGGCGCTACATTTCAACAAAACTAAGAAGAGTATGGAAAATGTGCAAAGTATTTCGAAAACTCATCATCTTTAAGATGACAGTTTGAAAATTTCAACTAAATAGTATCAAAGAAAGCTGGATAGTTTTAATCTGTACATACCTATGGTGAAATCATACAGATGTAACATCATATAATTTATTAAGTCCCATAAAACATCGACTTTAAAACTTTAAGATTGTGGATTTTAAGAATTTGTACAATTAACATGAGATATTGAATACATATTAGGGCTTTGTCTCGTATTTAAGGTCGATACTGTTAACGTTCATTTTATTACAAAATGAATGTGACCTTAATTTGTGCGAAAAATCATGTGAGCTTAGAAAGTGTGTTGAGCTGTACATGTTTAAAACAGTGTCTCAAGGTTATAAAAAAAGAATCCTTGGAAAATATGATGGTATTTTGTTCTGCTTTACTGTATAATAATACTTTCTGGTACTGCTATTTAAATTTATTTTAAATGCATATTTAGATATTTTAATTGAAAAAGACGTTAATGGTTATCTAACAACCAAGCTATCTGATAAACGTGATGACTTAAATATTTCTATTGTCAATTTCCTTTACTTATGCAGCAATATACTTTCATCACCTGCATACGGAATTTACATATCTCAGTTGATTAGATACGCTAAAGCATGTACTTCATATAAAGGAAACATATGGAGATAACAAACAGTATTCCAGAACAAAAGTCCATAAAACAATACAAAATAGGAGCAGAGCAAACACGGACCTCCAAATGAACAATTTCTACAACAAGGTAAATTATTGACAAACAATTTGATAAAACAAGAATTTCAGAAGTCATTCTTTCGTAAGTTCTATGGTCGATACAATGACCTTGTCAGCAAAAACAATTTATCATTGAGTCAAATGCTAACTGACGTTTTTCATACTTACTGTTAATCCATTATTTATACACTGAATTGACGACGGATTTTTCTGTTGTTTCCCGATCATGACAGAGACCACACTGCGAGTGTGACCGGTCGGCAGAGGATGCTCACTCCTCCATGGCACCTGATCCCACCTCTGATGTTTTGGAGATCTGTGTTTGCTCTGCTCCTATTTTGTATTGTGTTATGGACTTTTGATCTGGAGTGCTATTCGTTATCTCCATATGTTTCATGCAACTTGTATTAAGAAGAACCCACTGACCACAACGCTCACCTGAGTAAATTGTTCTCCTGTTCTTCACCAGATTTATTTCCCTACACCACCACATGAAACTTCCACATAAAAAGTTTCAGCTTTTTATGGAATATCTTCTGGCTCTACATTGCAATCGATAGGAAAAGTTGAAGAACTACTGGGCCAGATAGTAATTACTGAAACTTATGTGGAAGCATCCTTGGGTAGTGAAGATTCTAAATTGTTCAAATAATGACCGGCGGGATTATGTTAGGGTCACAGAAAGTATTACAAGGCGGAAAATCTGGACAGCAGAATCTAGTCAGAAACCAGAAACCAGAGAAGAATCCTACCGTAAGTCATTTGTTTTTCTAGAAACGTTATTAGTGTTGTCATCATCACAAGAGGGTCACTCATGCTAAAAAAAATCCAATCCAGAAATTTCTTGACACGAAAAAAAACACGTGAAGTCCTTCCCTTAATGTGAAAGGGGGAGAGAGGGTTCTCATGCGTTCATACCTTCATGTCTATGACATTTTTTATACCAACTTATCACGAATTCGCGTTTCCGGGCGAGGGGGGGGGAGTTCTTAGGTCCCTTTTAGTTGATTTATTTTATACATTGAATAACTTTTAGTTGGTTTAGTTTGTGCACCAGAGGGTGTCTCTCTAGATCTATGCATGTAAAACATATCTTATTTGTAAAAACAAAGAGATATAAATGTTTGATCAGCGTTTTCTAAGTGGAGGGTCCAAGATCAGTTTTAGTTCGTTTAGTTTATACATTAACCCACGACTGTACAAATTTTAACAATCTAATCTAATTTTAATTAGATTGAAATTTTAAATGCCCCCCACCCCCAAGATCTTTGCGTAAGAAACAATATAACACACAGAGGTATACATCTTTAATTTGAGGAAAATTTTAACTATAGAATATAATGGAAAATGTAACTTTATTTTCAAAACATCTTTATTCGAAAAGACAATTCTTTTTTTATTTTCTCTCTTCAAGGGCTTCGTTGTCTCGGGGGGGGGGGGGGGTGTTACTTCTTTTAAGATTAAAAGCAGAAAATAGTCATTTTATTACCTATTTCAAATAAGAAAATAAAAATAAAGAATGTACTTTATCAATGGCATATATTGAATATTACATAAATTAAAACATAGTGGTCATTTAGTCAATTTAATCTTACCATGAAAAATGACCTCTTGGAAAAAATGTCCTGGATCCGCGCCTGTTTTTTTTTCTTCTTTTTGAAAATTCATATAGATATAAATATCAATATAAATATTCAATTTATTTAAAAATGTGTGGCAGTTGGCAGTTAGCAGTTGGCTGTCGTAAATAAAAAATATTTATGAAAATAAAACACATAATTTGTGAATATTTTTAAACTTATGGTTAAAATCTTTTTAAAACCAGTCACAACTGGGGAGAACATGTTCATTATTTATATTTATAAAAGAAATTAAAACGAATTAGCCAAATTTGAGAGAAATTATTTTTTTAATTTTGGCCAATCCCGATCAAAATTAAACAGATCCCAACCGTATCTATACAATTATTGGAAATATATAACATTTCCCCGAAAACACCAGTCTGATTAGGTGTAATAAAGGTTAAAACATTATTGAACCTGACAATATTTTTTTTTCTTCATTGTAAATACATGAAGAAGCAATAAATTAGCATTTTATTCATTTTGTGTTAATTTTGATCGGGATCAGTTTAATTTTGATCGGGTTAGGTCCAAATATTAAAAAAAATTAATTTCTCTAAAATTTCTCAATTTTGTTTCAATTTCTTTTAAAAATATTATTGACAAACATGTTGTTCTTCGTTGTGACTAGTTTTATGGTGTTTTTAACCATAGGTTTAAGAAATATTCTCAAATAGTGTGTTTTATTTTCATAAATAAATCTTTATGAAAATTATTAAGTCTTACCTATGGAATTCCATATACGGCAGCCATCTGCCGACTGCCAACTGCTGACTGCCTACTGCCAACTGTCACACATATTTGAATAAAATTTCATATCTATATTGATAATCATGTGAATTGTCAATAAACCAGGCGCAGATCCAGGATTATTTCCCGGGGGGGGGGGGGGGTGAAAAGGGGGAGGGCAGTAAGCAGTCAGCAGTTGGCAGTAAGCAGTTGGCTGGCGTATATGGAATTCCATACTAACCAACCTTTCTTTACACATTTTAAAAGATATCATAAATATGATGCATTCATTTTCAGCAAACTTTTAACTCGAAAACAACTTATTTGGATATAAATATTTTTTTTTTTCATTTTCTTTGAAAAAAAAATACAAAAAAAATACTATATATAATAAAAAAGTATATTTCGGCCTTTCAATGCTGAAACCGTTGTTTAAAAAAGATGACTCAAAGATCTATAAAATAAAAAAGTTTGTGTGGCATTCCACCTTAAAAACACTGACTGGATTTTATTCATTGTTTGTATGATTTTTTATGGTGAATCCCGCCATCATATCAAATACTCTATTTTGAAACCATAATCTTAAAGCCATTATTATCCACAGCGTAAAAAAATATTCAGAAGATAAAAAGAAAATAAAAGAATTTATTGTTAATTACATGATGATGAGTTTAAAAAAATATTTTTAAAAATAAATTCATACACTACTATATTGTAGAGAAGAATTAAATGAAAATTAAAACTTCAAATTAGCTCACAATAATGATATCATAAAACAGTCACACATTTGCTACAGTTATTCAAACGATTCCAAATTCTGTAACTATCGACCTAATTCTGACAAAGCTCCCTTAACAATCTAGTGTACTTTTTAAAATTCATTTTTAACAATTCTTGATATGGTTTATAACATTTTTGCAATTGTTAAAGAGTAGAAAGTGGTTAACATTGATCATATAAGCTTTGGCGTCTTGTTCTTGTTGTATTATCACCAACAGACGTTTCTTCGATCTGTCTCATAGGTTCTCGATTGTAGTGATCAGTCTCTTCTTTGCTACACCACGACTCAAAGAAAAACAAAGCTGCTTTAAAACGGTAAAATATGAAAAAAGGAAAAACAATTTTGTTGAATATCTTCCACCATGTATCGTTATAAAAAGACTTTAATGAATATGTAAATGGAGGATATCTCGCTTGTGCCAAGGAATCGACCATCCAAAATCCCAGATTATTTATAGAAAGAAGGTAAAACATAAGTTTGATTCCCGCTTGACCATTTCCATTATGTTGACCATCGTGTAAAATAATCAGGTATATCGTTTGAACATATGTATTTGTAATTGTTAAGACACCATTGAATCCTCCCGCATATTCTCCAATGAAGAAAGAACTGTAGCTATCAAAAAAATTGTAAAGGATATTTGCAAAAGCACAAATTGAAAACACAATGTTGTCCAAATGCATATTTATGTCACGGCGCCAAGGATAGGTCGCAAGTAACGTTATGCTCAAGAATAAAAATTGTAAAATATCAAAGGTTAAATCACCCCTGTTAAAAAAACGGTAAAATGATGACATTGTCATCTCATCAGGATTTGCCGCAACAACAACCATCAAAACAGAAACTAAAGCAAACAATGATACCAAAGTACTGTACACTCCTTTGACGGCAAATTCCAACGTTTTCAAGTTCGTAATTTTGTTCAAAATGAAACGTACATATATTGAAAAGTTTGTTAACTTCTTTGAAAACTAATTTTTGAATCATGGCTGGTTTCATCAATAGAATCATCCTGCTGCCAAATGCTCTGCTCATGTTCTTGGGCTTCAAATTGATATATTCTTGATGCCACCAATTCCAGAGCCATGAGAAAAAACTCTATTTTCAATGGAGTTGCATATGGGTGAATAGCATGGGCAATACCATCAAAAAGACTATCAATGGACAAGTTTTCTTTAGCTTTGTACAAATTTGAATACGATAAGTTTTTTTCTATTAATGATGAATTGTACATGTGGGATTCGTGAAAGATACTGTATATTTCATTGATTTCTGTATCAGACCAGATGCAAAGGTTAACAGCAATAAGCAGAACAAATGCTGCTCCTGTATATCTATTTGTTGGTAAATTATTCGAATCCTTAGAGCAATGATAAACTATTTGCAAAGTCGCAAACACACAACAAAGTCCACTATACGATGAATAGCACAAACCTTGCGTTGTCAATGTATCTACCAGAAAGGAACCAGTCGTGAAAAAACCAAGTATTAAAAAGAAAACTCTCTCAATAGAAAAAATAACATTTCCTCGACATCTATTTGTATACAAAATGCCAATAACTAAAAAAAGTTGATCTGATACACCAACTATGACAACTGTGATAAGAATTCCACTTAGAGCATCTCCATACTGTGTATCCTGATTAAGACTCATTTCTAAATCAGGTCCAAAACGTAAGCCAAATATTAAAGCAAAGAAAATGGCAAACGAAAGAAATCCACTGATGTAAATACAGCACACGTGCCTTTTGTTGTTTTGTAGCCTTTCCGTTCCTGAAAAAAATGTAAAAAGAAAAATATTACGCTTACCTAATTTGCACATTAGCAAATTGTTTCCAAATGAAGTTTTATGTTGTTCTTAAATTGTTAGACCTGAAGAGGTGAGGCACCCTACGAATTTAGCAAATAGTGAAAGACGACAGTAACCGAAATATTTGTTAGCTGGGTATGTACAGTAAAATTGTAATGCATTATTAGTGCTCTTCCAGAGAAACATAAGATTCAAGATACTAGCTGTTGTTGCAAAAGATATACATTTGAAAGATAAAGAAATGACTGATATACCACGATGCTCATCTAAATTGAATAAGTATCTACATAAACAGAACGTTAGATATATTTATCGACATAAAGGCTTTGAATTTGCTCTTGTTTGAGGTTTCAGATGGGGGTGATAAATATTGGCCTTACTTCTTATAAATAGTTGATATGATATTATGCACACCAATCAAATCTCTGACATATGTTCTTCCACACATTATGACCAATGGGGACAAAATTTTTGTGACCTGGTGGTTCTTGGAAAGATTCTTAAAAAAGCTAATTTTTATACATTTTTAAAAGTTTTACTCACTGAAAAAAGGTGGGGTCCTTCTTTCGAAGGAATTCCCTTTGCCAAAAGTAGCTTTGTAGGAGCTTGTCGTTTGAGAGCAGGAGACAAAAATGAGACCAGTTCTCACATAGTTAAAGAAAGACAAATCAGGATCAGAAAAATTCAAACTTTAAATTAGGAAAGTTAAAAGCATTTATAACCTATGCTGGAAACTCTGTCACCAACAGTTCTTGATCCATTTTCAAGAAGAGGCGTTGTTTCATCAATTTCTTCGTTTGCACTTTCATTAGCATCAACTGCACTCGAAATCTGAATATATTTCAATTATGACACGGAAATTAAAAGAAGTAAAACCATTGAATTTTCTTTAAGTTTTACAAGGTCTGCTTTCTATTCAGTGACCTGTTATCATTTTTTTTCAACTCAACGTTTCATTCATAATTCAAGCAATAATTACTATTATAATATCAATGGGCTTGTCCATCAATTCCGCGTTGTAAAGTTTACCTGAACTACTTCAAGTAATTTAGTGGTATAATTATATGACATTGATAAATAAATTCAACCCACATAAATATATTCGTAAAACTTCAGAGGCTCGTTTCTCAAAAAGACGTACGACCAGGCCTAAGCCTAGTCCGCACTAAATCAGTGACTAAACCCGAGAATCGGACTAAGTAGCGTTTCACAAAAAGGCGGAGACTTAGTCGAGACTAAATTTTGGTTTAAATCTACGCCTGCTCATGAGTAGGCGAAAGTTTTTAGTCTGTACAGAACTTGGAAAAAGTGGCAAGTGGGTTAAAAGACTAATTATTTTATATGTATGCGATATAATACCTATTCATATACATAATTACATGTACATATGAAATGAAAAAAAAAACAAAAAAAAAACGTGAAATATACGTGTATTATGTAGGAAAATAGAAAGGTAATAAAATCCAGCAAGGGTGCAGATTATTTCCGTAAGAGGTGTGATCAACTATAAATTTGTTACTAAGAATTTTGAATTGAAATTGGGTAAGAATTTAAGAAGTACCACAGTTAAAAAAAACAGGCACGCGTAGTGTTGGGAGGGGGCTTCAATCCTCCCTCTTTTTTTCGGGTCAAAGTGCTTTCTGTTAAAAATTAAGCTGAATGTTTTATGCTGACCTGAACTTTAAGTTTTTCCCTTCTCTTACTGTCATATTTTGCTGAACAATACCAACACCCCCACCACCATACCGCGTATATTTTTTTTGTTTTGAAATGCATGGTGTTCAATAAAATCCTTAAACACTATATTTTAAGAATAAACGATGTATATTTAAGATAATTAAAAATATTCGGTATCTAGGCCATCAACTACGATAATGCACCTTAACTTAAGTTCATTCATCTTTAATTTCCCATTTACTTAAATATGACATCAAAATAACAGAAAAATGTGAATAATAATCCAGTATTAATAAATATTCTGTTTATAAGACTGTTCATTCCTATTTCAAAGGATCGATATGACAGGTATTCAAAGTCAAATCTGCTATTCTGCCCTTCTTTGGCAATCCATTTTTTTTCCTCATCCATTTGCAATTTCTTTTTTTTCTTTGATTTCAATCAAATAAGTATCGAATATTTAAGAAATAAAGTCCGCGTGTTCGTAAATGTTGCAGGATAACCTCCGAGATTGAGAAATATTGTTTGAAAGACAAATGCTGAGGCGTATAGCCAAGACTTTTATATTTCTAACAACATTTCGAGACCGAGGAGGTTATCCTCCATCATTCACTACAGCAAAGACTTTATTGCTATTCTACTGTAAACTCTAATAAGGCCAATCCTTTCCTCTATCGAGAAACGAATTATGTCACCATGTCTCGATTGCGCTGTTCCATTTAACACCAGTGGTTAAATTTGTTTACCTTAATTGCGTCCGGAAGGCAGACGATTTGAGCTTTCGTTACATTAAAATAGCCTTTTATTTATAATAAACTTGATTGTAACAGTAATCTATTATAATTATTTTTGATGTAAAATGACAAAATCGATTTTTTCTATTTTATTGTTTTATCAATAAAGTCACGGAGTTCAAATATTTTGTAGTGAGGTTCGTGGACAAGCACGGCTTAGCTATAGATTAAAAAACCTATATTCATCAGCTACTTTATGCAATATACATTGCTTAGGCTTTGAAAGACGACACATCAATGTGATCTAAAAAAGTATTTCATTCAAGAGTCAAATACTCATATGAATTTCACAGATTTGATCAGGTTTCTGATCTGATCATTTTTTGATAACGTTCATGATTTATTTGAGAATAACGTCCACTGTACGGCATTTCTTTTCTTTTTTTTTATCTCGGCAATAATCGTGGTAGAATAACAAATACTTCATAAATGGTAGTTATAAAATAAGTAAACTTGAATATTGATTTACGAATCCGCTAACCCTAGAGTTAAAAGTTTCACGTGAAAATAATTGTCGTCGGACAACAAGTTTAAGGAATTATGTTTGACTTTTTAGCTAAACGGCTCTTCATAAATAAACAAAAATAGATTTTCTAAGATAATGCTTTTTAATTTGTCGAATTTCATATAAAAGCATTTAAAAACTTAAAAATGAACATGAATAGTCAGTTTGTCTTTTTTAGAATTGCGTGCAAACTTACCGTTGATGTACTCATGTCTTTCAATCTGCAAAAGATAAAAGGAATCTTTGTACCAATCTTTGAGACTTAATCGTAATCAATTTTTAATATTTTCATGAATATACAAGATAAAAAATAAGATAATAAGATAAAACTGAGCTAGTGTATCATAAATGCCTGTAAAGGGATAAAGGGGATCACCCTCCATTGTTTTTGAATATATCATAGAAAAAGGACTTTTCGAGTTTGACTAGTTAAACACACACACACAGGGAGTAGGAATTCATGACCTAAACCTTTGGACTTCCAAATGAAAAGTGGTATTCCGTAGGCCATAAGGAGGTGTAGTATAAAATGTCATTGCGAAAGCTCAAAGGCTTCTCGAGATATTGCGCCGAAGATTGTGTGAAAACAGAGTATCTGAATTGATTGATTGATTGTGTACTGTTTAACGTCCCTCTCCAGAATATTTCACTGATATGGAGATGTCAAAATTGCCGGTGAAGGGCTGCAAATTCAGGCTTATGCTCGGCACTTACGGCCTTTGAGCAGGGAGGGATCTTTATCGTGCCACACCTGCTGTGACACGGGGCCTCGGTTTATACGGTCTCATCCGAAGGACCGCCCCATTTAGTCGCCTTTTACGACAAGCAAGGGGGTACTGAGGACCTATTCTAACCCGGATTCCCACGGAGTAGTATCTGAATTGATGAGCTTGACCTATTACATTTAGACCTAAAAATAAATAAATGGGAGTCTTTCCTAGTCAATAGAAAAATGAAAGTGTTACAGACAGACAAAAATACAGACAGAAAGACGGACAGACAGACTGAAATAAATATTCCCCACCTTAAGCTGGAGCAGCAAATATTGATTTTACCCATATCATTTTACCCCAATTAGTCATACTGATATGCAGTCACCTTCAAATAGTGTAAAATTACAATGACAAAATACAAAGGTTAAGGCAAAATTGTTGAAGCGTGCAAGATATTTGAAAGCAAAACGGGACTTGATCTCAAATCTATTTTTGTCTTCGGTTGTTTCTTGCAGAATTTTGACTCGTGGAATATTAGATGACAGTATAAAAATGAGTTTTATTGTTGTATTAAGATTACCTTTCTTGGTCAGCATTCAACTGGAACACGACCATGCAAGGTCTAAGTAATCTTTTAAAACCACGAATATGAATCTAATAGAATTGTTTTACCTAAATTTCATTTTTTTTTCAAATGATCGTCAGTGCAACACCAACAAGTACCATAAAACGCATATATGTTGCTTGCAAGTTTTTGCAAATGCATTATGAGCAAACTTGGAATGACATCTGTTCATAGCTCAAATAATGTTTTTCAATGACTTTCAAGTATACCAAGTAATTTTTAAAGTAATTTTTTTTATCAAGAATGAAATGGAATATAAAGAATTTTTCAATTCTACCGTATTTATCACATAATATTAAAAAACAATTTTTTTTTTAATTTGCGAAAGATCAATTACACACATGTAGACATAAAATGCAAAGATGTTCTGTAAATCATCGATTTGCAAATTAATAAATGCAAAAAATCTCACAGTATTTTCAAATGAAAAAGAAAATAAAACTTACTTTGAATACAGGACCAGAGTATGTTGATACCTGATAACAGTTTGAAATGCACGGAATCTTAGAGATTGTTTTAGATGTATTCAAGATAAATCTCAAGGTGATGCATAATATAACTTTCAAAATTACGTAACCAGAACTGCTTACCCGCGGAAATTTACATGTAGCAGCAATTGGCCGCATGAATAAACCAAGCGACACAAAGGGAGATTGATTTAAGATTTTTGTTTGCCTCAGACATGTTATTGATATGATCTTGTAAAATCTTAAAGTTAATACTAACGAAGTTACAATATAAAAGAGTATTATGTACCTTTCTCCCCTTATCGAAGTATTCCTTTTACATTTAATATGAAATATATCGTACTTATAACGGTAGGGATATATATGATCAAGAGAATATTTAAAATTCCATTCACCACATTTTACATGTAGTTACGTATATCTAATATAAGAAGATATCCAGTAGAAAGTAGAAAACGAAACAGGCTAAGATAACAAAGGGTGATCAATATACATCTGCAATTGAAGCATAGTAATGGACACTTGAAAAATCCAGCTAAAGAATCTGTAAAGGAGAACAAAACAATACCTGTTATAGATAAATCATAATGATTGGATAACACTTTTTGAGTAGCCCAATAAGATGAAAATTATTTAATGCAGTTCTTCGATCTTCTTATTTTCATCCCCTCCCTCTCTTATCAGAATTTTTTAAATGATCTTTCCATCCTGTGTCCATAACCTCTATCTCTGAATATTGGATTTTTTCTAGATAAAGAAAAGTGTGAACGAAAAATAACAAAATAAATAAATATTATTACTCAAAAAGATATTATCTTAAAGCGATAAAGAGATAAAAATGTTATGTTTCTCATGAAAATAAATACATGTAGCATCATTGAAAAATCTACTTATCAGGAACAGGAAAGCAATGATTGGTCATATCTATCTGGGAGCATTGTCAAGTGGTGTATATTCAACCTTGTTCAAATCATGACCCCTGGGGTAGGGCTACAATGGACGATTAAAGTTTAACATAGAAACATATTTATATGAGAAAATTTCTAAAAAATCTTCATCTGAAAAACAGCAAATTTAAGAATAGTCATATTTATGTGGAAGCAGTCTCTAGTGGTGTAGATTCAATTTCCTTTCAAATCATGACCCTCGGGGGTAGAGTGGGCCATAACAGATGTTTTATTTTCTTTTTATTATTCCAGAGATTGCACATACTGAAATGAAATTTGGTATACAATTTTATCAGATGAATATCTAGGTAAAGTTCTGTTTTAGGTACTATTGCACCATTTATGCCCCTTGGAACTGAAAAATTCCAATCTGGGGGAGGGCGCATGTGCTTTTTAAACTTGTCTTGTTTAGATAAATATAGTGAGAAAAAATAGAAAAAGGAATAAACTTAAGGATATTCATCATGATATTGAGTGCCTCGACATTTCCTCATTAGAAATTTACAAGAAATTTATACAATTAATTGATATTCATCTTAATATTTTCAATAGAATTATCAATCATAAAAATGGTGTACACCTTAATTTCTTTCTTATATTTCTAAAGAATAAAATTCATTTAAAAGTCTTAGATATGTAAATATAACGTACAATGTTAGGACTTAATCAAATAACGTTAATGTGTACTTACACCATGCGCAACGTCATATATGTATTTGCAATAAAAATGTAAACCATTCACAGATGTATACATTTTTGAGTCAAAAACTCAAAAATCAATTTTACACATACATGTTCACTATCAAGGATTCTGTCGGTGACGTTAGAGAGAGAGAGAGAGAGAGAGAGAGAGAGAGAGAGAGAGAGAGAGATTATCTCGCAAATTGTAAAAAAAAAAGTTCTTTAAAGAATGCACTTTGCTTGTGCGGTCTGTAACTGTAAATTATGCTACAGTTACTCTTTATTTTACTTTTAAAGTATGTAAGTTACACAGAAAAAAATACATGTACATATATATTTCCGTCTTCAAATATATGCTTTTTATGTTCACTGCCTTCCATCAATATAATTAAAGTACTATAAAATTACATATTTGTGTCGGGTCATAGGTTCGTGGGGATTTTATTTCGTGAAAATTATATAGATATGTTAAAATAGCTAACATGCGCCTGTTAAGGATGCGCCTGCTGCCCAATCCTATTCACGATACCATCAGTGAATAAAATATTGTTTAAAATAAAATAGCTAACATTTTACATTTTGTTGTGGACAAGAATTCGTGGGTCTTTTCATATCTCGAAAACAAAGAAAATTTAACCCTCACAATAACATTTCCCCATTTTAAAAACATTTTCTCTTTTTGCTAATACGACCCCCCACACCCTTGATGGGGACTTCACTTGTCCTAGATCCCTTGAAAAAAAAAATTATTCTCGCTCATTATTCTATACAACTAATAACTCCACAAATTCCAGAAGGCTTTGGAACACCTCCCCTCCATCCCCTTTAGATACGCGCATGTGAACGAGAAGTAGAGAGTCTTCGAAATATATACTTTTATGGGTTTCTTTTCAGTGAATGAAACAGAAGATATATCGTACATGTTTAGTCTATTAACAATACCCCAAACTCATAACACATAATGCAAAACAAGCGGCAGTGTAAATCAAGGGTTTTTGCATCTCTTGGATCTGCAGCTCTCTGCTTGATCTTTCCGAATTTCTCAAGTACAGTGCAGTTCTGCAGTTAGAGGATGGGCAATCATAGTGCTGATGAGGTTAGAACCAAATGCATCATTGGATGATATATTGCACAAGCACAAGCTGGATAGTAAAATGCATCTTTGGTTTAGTTGAGAGAAGAAAAATTGCTGATACTTTTTCAAAGTGTAAAACAACAAAAATTTGAAGATGAATTTGCCTTGAGATGCATGTTAGATGACTTCTTATCAAAAGCTCTTATACAAGGACAGGTAGATCTAGTTAACGAGAATGTCATGCTAAGAGACATATTTTTCTTTGTTTGAGATGGAAACTAGTTTGAAGGACATATCCACAAGGAAAACCGAATGTGACGACCATAGGAGAACTATAAGGATACTGGAACAAGACAAAGAGGAAGAAAGTCAAGTCAGAAAAAAAAAATGAATTATACCATCGAAAAACGAAATATCAAGAGCAGAGAAAAAAAATCAAGCAAAAAAAACCTGAGGATTTGATAACTACTATGAACAGATTACTAGTATCTTCAATTTTTGGAGAGGTAAAAAGAAATATATGGAGATGACAAACAGTATTAAAGCTCAAGTCCACTTGACAATACAAATTAGAAGCAGGGCAAACGCGAATCTCTAAAACATTGGAGGTTCGATAAGATGTCATGGAGGAATGATCATCCATACCCCCTCCCGACCGGTCACACCCACCGTATACTCAGTATTCCTTTTCATGAGTGGGAGGAGAAAGAAAAAATGATCAACATCAAAGTAGAGGTATAGTGGACACTCCAAAGTACATCAATGACCTGTAAAAGAACAAAGAGAACACGAAGAATTATTCAATAAAAGAGAGTTTAAAAAACGCAGAAAAGAATGTTTGATCAGAGGGTCAGAGGAGAAAATTAAATAATTATGATTACATTAGATGATGATAAATCTTAATATATCAAGATCTTAACAAATGTATATCTATACATTATATATATTTATACAGAATACTTTGCTAAGAAATATTTTAGTGTAAATTAGTAATTATAAAAAGGATGTCCATTGGAATTTCCTTTGATTTTTTTTTTATTATCAAAGGCTTGTTACCCGAACAGCTACTCACCAAAACAAACAAATAACTATCACGATGCCCTCTGAGGGGTTCAGGTTGACAACCTGTGTTGAAAATGTACCAGATTTGAAGTTACTTTAAAATATTAAATCGATTTTTATTTCCTTTTTTTAATTTGCATATTTCATTGAATTATTCCATTAAATTATATACACATGTATAATATATATTATTTCAAAAATTTACAATCAGAAAACATATTAGATATAAAATTACAATTAAACAATTTTTTAAATTAAAAATTTCTCGACGTTCTGCTGTTTAACAGCTCTATTTCACACATTTTATACTTTCATTTTAAAAAATAAAAGCTAAAACTCATTATTTCATTTATTACACTCATAGCACTTTCACATTATTAAAGTCAGTTAATTTTATTGCGTTGATAATGATTCAATAGGAAAAAATAACTTACTTTGATTCGTGACCTACGATACAAGACATTCATTTGCATAACAACAGTTCAAACATACTCCTTCATTTGATTTATTTGCAAAACACCACTAAACATTAAGCAGTTTAAAACATGAACGATATTTTTTTAAGAATCGATAAAAATCTATAAGTTGTAAAACACATATTGTTAAAAGAGATTTATTATTTCTAAAAAAAAAAAAAATAGCAGGTACGAAAAGTGGATCTTGGTACTGAAGAATTTTACTCTTCAAGATACACACAGAAATCGATTCGATAAGTTTAACAGTTTGTTTGTTTGTATGAATCTTGTTTAACGTCCCTCTCGATAATTTTTAACTCGACACTTGCCGATGGAGGGCTGCAATACGCGGCACATTGAGCAGGGAGGGATTTTTTTCTTGCCAGTACCTACCTCGACAGGGGATCTCGGTTTATACGTCCCACAATAGGATTCGAACCTGCGATGTTAGGATCAACTCCTAACCTTGCGACCAGGCAGACACTCTAACCACTGTGACACGCGGGCGACGTATCAGTTTGTCAGGGTGTACTGTAAAAAATTAAGCTTTTTCACATGTAAAATATAAATAAAGAGGAGAAAGATATGAAAAAGTAGAAATGAGGAGAAGGAATAGATATGTATATCATGTTCATAGTTTAGTGTTCTTTTACCCGAATTCCATGTGTTTGCAAAAAGTCGAAATAACGAACAATGTTTGGGTTTAAACATTATACCGGTATTTACAATACAAATCTGTGAAGAGGTCATAAATACGGACTGTTGGGAATTCCAGAGATTGGATTTAGTGCATAAAAGGAATAAACATTCCTTGTTGACCATCCATACCACGTCGCGAGCCTTATATC